GCAGCTATGTTTGTTTCGTACTGGAGTACGACGCAGGTGTGTATTTTGAATCCCAATCAATTGGGCTGTTCGGGGAGTTTACATCGTTCTCTGTCGTCTAGGCTCTAGCTGGAGATGAACTCACAGAAATTGGAGACTCTTCCTCCAAAATGATTATGCAAAGTTGAGACAGGTACGTGCTAAAACATACCTTACAATACCTTTAAGTTCATTTGCGATATTATTCTGCCGTTTATTTCTTTACAAAGAATAACAACTAGACCCAGACAATGTAAATACTTTAGAGCATGATTAGTAATAAATAAATATTGACGCATTTTACCATTCCGATACCTCCTTTAAGACAGTAAGGTTTTTTAAGAGACGGAATCTTCGAATGTATCGCCCTTCTCCGATAGTTCAATGCCAAATGGGTGTAGAACTCTAAAACTCTCCAAAACAGCGCAAGGTCAAAATGTCCTGTAGGGGATTCGAACCAAAGCAATCCGCTCCGATGCCCAGCATGACAGTAACTGAGCTAACGGCGCACTCGTTCAGAACAGTGTACTTCCTAGTCAGTCTAAAATGATGGAAAAATTATAACCTTCCCACTGTCACATATTACTACAGAAAGCAAGCCAGCTGTTTCCGTCTAAGAATAAAAGCCCATCAGAATGATGAATATGCTAGAATAAAAACAGAAGACTAAAACAATATTATTTTGATAATTACCCTATTTGTGAGCGGTATTAATCAGCGAAACTTATTAATGTGACACACCTCGTAGGCCTTAACAATACCCCCCGCATATTGCAAGATATGCAATGTTGCCGTCTTGTGACAGCTAAACGTACGTGCCAAGAATGAAATTTAACAAGATAGGCCAAAAAAAAAGACAAGTAACGTGTAGTGTGTGTTTCAACTTACTCAAAATTAGGTCAATCTGATTATTTAACGTCAATATTCATTTGTCGATCTGACTTATGTATGTTTGACTTGCTGAGGTAAACAGCAAATAGTTAGGGAGTAATTAATTAAGATTTCTTTTGTTAAAACAATATCGATAGGTTATTAGGTCATAACACATTTTTTTAAAGCCCCAAACTTCCTCTGATTCTAATTGTACAGCCATGAAACCAATTTAGAAAGACGTGACATGAAAAGGATTTACTTGCCTGTATAATAACTCTACTTGACCTAGTTGGGCATATATTATACTTTTTTGGTCATAAGACGAGAGAATGACACTCGAACGACTGTTTCCCCTAACAATAATTTGTCAATAAATGATAGCCTAAGGTTTGAATTGTCCCACTCTCTCATTAAAGACGACAAAATAAAAATGATAAAATGTTTGCAAAGGATTAAAGTACCTTTTACAAAGGAGGTAACGCATGATGATTAAATCAAACTCGGGGAGAACCATTCTTCTCTATTTATAATCCTTAAATTCTCATCTTAAAAGTCGTCGATTTTTTTTCTCATAACTTTCTCTTGGGGATAAATCCAACATATTTTTTTTTCCCTTTAAGATTTGGTTTAAAAAAATTGATTTCAACTTTACATGTTTCACATCAGTTGAAATCTGACATTAGAACAGCTGACGCCAGATGGTATTGACTGAATCCTTCTTCCCTCATCCACATAAAGGAAACATTATGTAGGATTAGCCAAAGGGGGCTTTCGCGATGTTATTTATTTCGTTTTGTTTAGTTTTTGTTTTTTGCTTTTTGTTTGAACTATTTGCTTGAAGATCTGCTGGTTTCAATACAGTGTTATTTGAGATGTTGTCTTTTTTAAAGATATTTTATTAAATGTGTATTATCTCATCATACATTCATGTGTTATGTAATTGTTTGCGCAGTAGAAATTAAGATGAAGGGGAAGCAGTTTCAGAGTGCTATCACACTATCGATTACATCCATTGATGATGCTGATGATGCTGATGATGCGATGATGATGATGATGATGATGATGATGATGATGATGATGATGATGATGATGATGATGATGATGATGATGATGATGATGGGAATAAGGATGATGATGAGGATGATGAGAAGAAGGAGGAGGAGGAAGAGCAGGAGCAGAAGGAGGAGTCTTGGGAGAAGCAGGAGCGTGAGGACAATAATGACGATGATGACGATCTCCTCTCCAAAAAACTCAACGTCAGTAGAATAATATTTTCAACAGCAACCTGCGCAATGAAAACTACTGTGCAAAGCCTCACTTAGAAGCCTTTCTTAAAGTTCCAATCAAAACAACCTTCTCATCGTGAAGAAAAAATAGTAAATGATGTTTATCTCCGTCAAACAGCCCAACAAACACCCCCTCCCCACAAACGCTGCCCCCCACCAGATACGTCATGCCATGAAGTCTGAGTTTATTCATCAACGTAAGAAATCGAATATAAGAAACAAGCTACCAGAGACATCACCGCGGCAAAGTGTGGTAAGGACATGATTATCTTCATCTTTAGCCACACAAAGCTCTAGTCTGCCCAAATGTTAGTCTGGCGAATTACTCAAATCAATTGATTTGTGATTTGGTGCACTGAGAAGACTCAAGGTTCAAAAACAGTACGTAAAAAGTTAACATTGAAATTCTCCCTGGGTGTCGCTTTTGAGCAAGAGTCGCAAATATAGTCAGGCACGTTTCGACACCAAAGGGCTGTATTTCAAAATACTAAAATCTTTAACTTTAACTTAAAGCTTCTGCTGCCCCTCCCCCCCCCCCCCCCCCTTTAAAAAAAAAACTCAAACTGCGGCACCCAGGTCAACACCACCGATACCGGTATGTTCAATGTTTTCTGACGCATTGGTTTCAGTTACGATCAGCATTATAAAAGTATTGTTTAGCACTTCGTAAACACAAAATACGACGATACTGACATCATTGTGTCATGCTCCAGGGGATATCAGCAAGTTGAAACGCCAGAGATAACCCTTTAAGAAAATACCAGACAAGACTCTTCTCTTTATTCTGCTATCGAACTATGTCGATGATGATGTTGATGACAATGAGGAGGAGGAGGAGGAGGAGGAGGAGGGAGAGGACCAAGCACGAAGAGTTGAAAGATAAAGACCGGGAGAAGAAAAAGGAAAATATGGAAAATGAAAAGGCGTCTGGTGGCTGTTGTACTTTACCACATACGGCTATTCATCTTCACACAAGGTCTGAAGATAGCACAGCGTCAAGAAATGTGTGGTCTACTTATGTGTGGATGTTTGTCTGCCTTCAGAGACTGAAAACGGTTATTTCTTAGAGGCACAAATTATACCCTCGAGTAATAATGTACAGTAGACAGTTTGCTCCACTCACGGAAGAATCAATAAAAGATCTTACTTCGGCGTATGCTAAAGTGCATACATACATGCAAACAGGCATTCCTGAATTATAAGAAGCAAATAGGCTAAACCGACTGACAGACAGAAAAACATGTTGAAAATCAAACAGGTAGGCAGGAAATTACCCATGCAGATAATCATAGACAGATCGGTAGACAGGTTATAAAGACATGCATGCATACATGGCTGGGAAAAATATCCTTGCCATATGCAAGTGCACGACTTTCACAAGGTTTCGAAAAACGGTACAGGAATCTAAATTTGGAGACAAGTGACATTATACTTCGAACCTGCCTATCAGGCCCAACCCGGACTGAATGGCACAACTGGCGTTAGTGATGAGAACGTTAGGCTCTTTGCCATCGCATGCAGAAGACGTGAGCTAGATTTCGAAAGGCTGAGTGTTTTTTATCAGCTATTTCCGTCCGTCTCAAAACAGGCAGGGTCGAAACCACCCGCCTTCTAACTGATGTAAGTTGTGCCGAAGGGGCGTATAACGTATAATATTATAATAGCATATGAATTGCACAGCTTTTACATTTGAAGTTGTAACCTTTCCACCTCCTTTGGTAGGACAACGCACTATTTATATTTCCCCCTGCCCGCTCGAAATAGTGGCGCTGTTGAACAGAACGTTTGCCCCTAAAAATGGGGCACTCCGCCAGTAATAGGCAAATGTCAAGCTTTGGTAAGATAGCTGCCACAAAATACAGCAATTCTTTAATCAACATGATAGTTTCAACCTTTTCTTTTCCCACTTCAACTCTCAGTATCGTTTTACTCCGGACATGCCATAGATCTGTACATAGTAAAAGGCAAAAGTGAAAGGGTCGTTCGGGGATGAGGGGTCAGAAAATATAACGGGGGTGTGAACCGCAAGCGTGCATTCATATCAACATGCAGATGCAAATAGTAACTGCCAAATACATTTTGTGCAACGATAACAGTTGAGAAAATATGACAATCTTTCAATTGGAATCATGCGTGAATTCAAATTTCAGTTGGTGAATCCGAATACAGGTTGCACAGTTTGTTGTGCCACGAAACTACCAACTTTTACCGTGACGGGAATTGTGGACTTTTTACTTCACGGCCAAACTAAGGGGGGGGGGGGGGGGGGCGCAATAAAAGTCAATGCCTATTTTTTTCTGGGAGGTGGGGGTGGGGGGAGGGCTTAAAAGAATAGTGTTTACAATAGACAACTTAACGACTTCATCAGAAAGAGTGAAAACGTCTCAGTATTTGGATTTGAGTTCTAGCATTTAGGTTTTAAGAGTTGGTCTTTGATAACATGTGTAAGGATGGCATTTATGGACGTTAAACTCGTTTGTATTTTACACACTTAAAACAAAAATAATAGTACTATACAAGATGGTCCTCCCTCTAAAAAAGTGTCGTCGCCATTGATAATCCATGAGCATCACTACGTGGCAACTGGTGCTGCAAAAAAAACAGATTCCTTTTTCCATTTCTAAAATACAAGTTCTTTTAAATCCATTGTTTGTACTGCAGTTGAGTGAATTTTGCGTAATTATAAATAAAATTTCTTTCCTTGTAAGTGGCAGCAGTCTACAACTTGCATTCCACATGCAGCAGCAATAGCAGGCAATAAATACATGCTGTGTAAAGTGCAAAAATTAAACTAAAAAGGGTAGAAAAGGGGGTGACACCTACTCGATATCTAACCTGTAGCGTGCGCACGATGCGGCCAAAAGCTGTGGCTTCATAATCCTCATCGCCCCCGCCTCCAGCTCCGGCCGCCGAGTCCCGCTGCTCGATCCTGACGATCTCGGAGCAGGCGTCATCCTCGTTGGGGTTGGTCCTGACCGAGGGTTGTGGGGAAAGACCTCCGTTCTCCAGCTCGTCCTCCAGGGATCGTTTGTCGGTCAGCTTGTCCTGCGACAGGCTGGATGATGCCATGGGTCGTCGCCTCAAGGCAAACACACTGTCAGGTCATGGTGACGGGTCTGCGCCAGGGAGAGAGGAGGGTTTTTAAAGTTAAGTTTTGCTTTAACGTGAGGAGAAAAGGCACGTCGACACAATAGCGATCATTTAGTGCTGGGGCCATAGTGTCATGTCTACAATAATATGAAGAGTGGATGATTGTGTTAGGGTAAAGTAAGTGGTGCAGTGACACAGTATCGGTCATTTAGTTGTTGAGAAAAGCGAAACAGCAACAGCAGCAGCAATAACAACAGCAATAACAACAACAATAACAACAACAACAATGTCAAGGCGTCACATTGTAATATTATTGCTACGGGCCACGTGGGTACAAGTACCCAGATAATTCATGTCAATAAACTATAATAACACAGAGAAAGGTGTTCTTTAGTATGGAAATTCACCGTCCTCTATTTTAACGTCGAACAACGGCAATGTAGAAACACAAATTAAAAAATTAAACGAGACAACAAGAACGCCAACAACGATAAATCATCCAAGTCACAGAAACCACAGAAGAGACAACACAAAAGTTGTTTGATCAAAGCCGAAATCTGTAGACAAGAAGCCCAAAGACGAAACGTCCGCTTAAAGTTGTTTTTTTAACCCACAGGGAAGAGAACAGGACAAAATTAGCAATAAAACCGTTTTTAGAAATACGAGAAAGCAAAAGAAAAGTGAGAATAAAACTGCAACATTTTAAAAAATATTCTTACAAAACATAGCGACAGCAAATTAATATGAACGATGGCAACCAGAAATATAATATATTTTTTTTTAATAAACAGCAGCGACAGCTGTAACTGCTCTGCTGCCAGCACCATAAGTAGCAAGATTGAAAACAATAGCTTTAACAAGAGGAACACCAATAGCAATATTACCGAGAACTAAAACAAGCAGTGATGAAATAAATAAACGAGCAAAGAGCGCAGTATCTATCTGCAGACGTCTCCGGTGAAGATAGACCAATCAAAATGCTTTGTGCCTCTGGACCAAGTAAAAAAATCTCGGGGGGTTACCCTGTTTTAACCCATAATTTGGTATTTTACAGTTCGGTTTGAAACTTTCTTGAAAATAATTAATTAGCGACAGTTTAGTGGCTATATGTGTGATCTGCAGCAAATAATACAGTTTGACACCCCAAGGCAGTGCATCTGTGTGCACGGGGTGCGTCTCCGAATAGTTTCTGGGTGCTCGCCGGAGACGTTGCCGAATATCGTCTGCCTTTATAAAGGGCAGACACACTGTTTTGTTTTCTCCCCTATTTCAACAACTTGAACTACCTGTGCAACATCATGGGGCCCAGGAGGATTCAAGGTGGATATACGGATATACAGCCACGTCTCGCAGGAGCAACACGTGGGGCTGCCCAGTCTGTCACAATTTCATTTAAGTATTTGAGTATAGATGAGTCATAATTACAGCACTTTAACACTTTAGTTGTAACTTAAGTTTTTTATTCTCCACCTTCAAATTTGCGGTGTAGAGATAGTCCATCTAAAATGTCAATTCAGTTTGGGTTGTTCAAAGTCTCTTCCTTTATGTATGCAAATCAAAGCAAATTTAAATTACTCTATAAAATTTCAACAATGAATGTTCTTTCGTTAAAAACAATTGAAAAATTCAATTCAATTCATACCATCAAATTTACTCTTTTTGAGAGAGTCAGTTATAACTTCCATCATGCAGGGCACAGTCGAGGCCTCTGACAAACTGGCATGCTCCCCAAGACACAGCGAGCTGTGATAATCCTGATCCACGTGGGCGTGGGGGCAGGGAGGGGGGTATATTTAACTTTTACCAAAATGGAAACCTAAATTTGTCTCCGACTCAGATCAAAAGTAAGTAGGAATAATGAAGAAACAAGAAAGTTCTCACCACAACCAGCAGCTTATGCTGAGATCTACTATGGGTTTATTGACTCCGAATAAAACACGCAGCTTTTAATTTTTATTCGTTCAAAACTGTCTTGCATTCTATCAAAACAGGACGGTGAAACATAGAGCTACTTAATGATTGTAACACATCACCAAAATCTCAGATCTGACAAGTCTGATATTGGTGCTTGTTTGTTTAGTGTTCGTTCGTCTAAGATTGATCGTTACCAGGCTTTCAGTATATTTCTGATCAATTAAAGACTGAACTCTCCACATTAACGTCCATCTCTGATATCTTAAATAAGCCATCATTTGTAAGTGAGAAAGAAGAACGAAGGAACGTAAAAGGAGGTCGTTTACGTGGGAGTGAAGGGAATGCACATGTTTACGCTCTAATGTGTCCGGCTAATCGCAAGTCAGAATAGGTTGGTATTTTTATTGTGGGGGGGGGGGGGGGAGCTTTATCGAGTCTGTAATCGAACATCTGTGACCAACAATCAAAACAGCGGAAACTGCTGATAACAAACAGGACTTTACAGGATAATATAACTGCTTTTGTGCTGTGGATCTTGTTGGCGTACGAGCGTTGCAAAAGTATTGACGGTTTGCGAGGGTGAGTGTAAATGACATTTAGGTGTACGTCTGTGCGTGGAAAGTATCAGGGTACAAGACAAGAGGAACACCAAAAAATACCTGGATCCAGGGTGTGAAAGATACCCTGAGAACATATAATATCCCACCCAGTCAGTCCATCAAATTTGCTGATTGTTCATTGTTCATTGTTTTAGGAAGCAACACCCCTGCATTCCTGACATGTCTAACATGACGAACATCAGACTTGCTAGAGATAAAAAGCTCTTTCTCCCCTCGACGACCTAGAGGTACAAGAGGACGGATAAAGTAAAGTAAGTAAGTCTGTGTGTGCGTGCGTGTGTTTGCGCACGCAGCTGTATGTGTTTGTGTGTGGTGTGTTTATGTGCTTGTGTGTGTATGTGGGAGTGTGCGTGCAGGCGTGCGTCTATGTGTGTATGTGTGTGTGAATGTGTGAGTGTGTGTTAGTTATAGTAGAGGGTTTTACGGCGCTCGCAACTGCATAAGGTCATATGAGCGCCAAGGGGTGGGTGTCAACAGAGAAGTCTTACTCTGCTCACTTCTCTAGCTTCAACAGCGCAATGTCTGCTTCGACTATCAAGGCACCCCGGAAAGAGCGGGTCACAAGAGAGTGACAAACATACAAAATAAGTACAGGAAAATGACAATAGTAGGGATTAGGAACGAAAAAGCAGCAGTTCCCTGTTGTAGAACAGGCACAGTTATGAGCATGACATGATGAATCAGCCCATTTACAATTCTACTGTGCATGAACGAGAAATGTCCCCCCTTTGGGAATGGCCTAAAGACACTACAGTCAGTGGCACTGCCCCGAGGGGCGGGGGTGAGTGTGTGAGTGTGTGTGTGTGTGTGTGTGTGTGTGTGTGTGTGTGTGTGTGTGTATGTATGTGTGTGCGTGTGTGTGTGAGTGTGTGTGTGTGTATTTCTGTCTGTCTGTGCGTGTGTAGGTGTAAAATGTGGTAACAGTATCTGTGGGTAAGGGATGGGGTTACAAATACCCCCCTCCCCCCGCCCCCACTTCTGATTTGGGAAATCGACGTTTAATTATTAAAAGAGAAATGTAACCGCCGTGAAAGTCTAAGAGAGGATGCATAATATTGGTCAAATGAACCTGATCCGCATGATCACATCGTATCAGGAAATTTTGCTTGGCAGCGTACACTATATCAGATAGAACTCTGATTTGCTCCATCAAATTTAACGGAACATTTAATTAGAGCCAACCGTGTTCCGCATGCAGACAGAATGGTTTGACACTGCAACACAATGGGACACGGTGGACTTCAGGGTGAATTTTGGCCACAACTTTCATCAAATGCACCAGAAGGTAAATAAAATATGTTTGGTTCGGGAAGATTGGTGAAAGCTATAGACATAGTTTTCGTCCCTCCATGAGAATAGGCCTGCCAGTGCTACAACTTATCTATTTATAATATTAAATGGGGACTGGGGAAACTTCCTAGATTACAGTGTGCACCAAGTATAAATCTATAAGCCATCTTCTACCACTAAGAACAAAAAAAGAAACCTAAAACTGAGTTTGAAATTGACTGACCAACACGACGAGATTGAAATCATTGAGAAATTATGATTACTATGATTGTTATACCAGCAGACGTATATTATGAAAAACATTGTTCGATCATAAGTGGATGACAGTGTTAAATGGTTAGTAAAAGAAAACATTTCGGAAATGATCATAATTTAATGTGGAGATGAAGTTAGTCTGAAATGTCACAGAGACAGTAGGGAAGCAGGATCCGCCTGTCGTGGTCTCTAAATGACACGTAAAAATAAATATTTTCCTCACTATCTCAATTTATTTCAACCTGAAGCAGATTGAATGAGACAATTATTATTGGTACCGTACGAGGTTCATACAGTAGGGTCGGGTTGATTGATCGTCAGAAGACGAAGACGTCTTGACTGAATCGATGTGAAAAGTGTTCAGCGTCTTGCAGGCAGCCGTTGCTTTTGTTCTTCTGGTAGGCTACATGTTTTGTTTCAGTCTTATTCGTTGGATCTTTAAGGAAGTTTCTGGTACTTCAATTATGTGCTTCGATAATTTTGGCGAGATCTGATATTGCTCTTGCTAAGGACTATTTAATTTTGGAGATTCGAGATTTTCTGCCCCGGATCATAGATGTTGTGAGAACTCTATTCACTTCTGCTGGCCTGAGGTACTGCCGGGAGAAGCCAGTGAACAGTTTACCTATAACCTATAATTTCTAACCTTTTGAATCAAAATATTCTCAAGATTCTTCATCTCAGTATTTCTTTCATCCAGATTTGACTGTTGTAATTCTCTTCTTGCCAACTTTACTTTGTAAATGATTGCAGATTGCAGCGGTTCAAAAATAGAGCTGCCCAATTATTGATCTTAATAAATCCCAATAAGAACACACCATTCCTTTATTGATAAGCTAAATTGACTCCCACTTAAATGTTAAATTGATGACAAACTTGCTGTTTTGTGCCAAATGTGCATGAACAACAAATCACCACATTATCAGAAAGACCTTATCGGGTCATAA